CAAAGTAAATTAATGAAATCAATAGAGGTATATATCAGAATTTATACCATCAATTTTGAAAAGTTTATCTCGGCAAAATTAAGATTAATATAGGTACAACATATAACTTTTTCCCAAAAAATATATTAAATTATATATCTCATGATAATGAATTATTTTTAACATTTATAATGATTATTATTATTATATATTATTTAATAATTTATATTTATTTATTAAAATACAAAGATAATTATATTTATAAAAAAACGGTTTTAAACTTTTATAACGCGTGATAGTCATTGTATATATAAATCATTATACAGTTTACATTATATATATTATATCTAAAATATAAATTTAATAAGAATGGTTATTGTGAAAACTGAGATATGCTTTTGTTTAATATCAACTTTTTGATAAATTATTTATTTTATTTGATGAATTTTGAGAGGTTTATGATGGATTTTCTGAAGGCAATTTGAAATAAATAATCATATAAATAAAATTATTTTATCTTAATAAGGAAAATAAATTAAACTGATTTGAGAGTTATAATCTCATAATATAATAATATATTCATTATAAAAATGTATCAAATCTTAATATTTTGCATTTTTTGTAAAAAAATTTTGAATGACTTTTATATTTTTATGGATTTTATTTTTTTGAATTGATTTTATATTTATTTTTGAAAGAAATTGATACATCACGTTTTTTTCTAAAAATATTTTATCTATATCTTGGAATTTTCAATAGCGATCTCTATAAAAAATTAAAATTAGCTTTAAATAATTTTAAAGAAGAATAAATATTACTTAAGGAATGATTGTATCACAAGAAGCTAGACGTTGCACCTATGGATTAATTGAAAATATAATTTCTGATAAATAAAAATATAATTATATCAAAAAGTTTCAAACATATAAATGCGAAGAGAGAACGTCAGGACCTATATATTCACTATTCTTTTACCACTCTTTGGTTTTGCGTTATTAACAGGATGTATTGTCGGAATTATAGTTGGTTTTTATAATTGGACAGGAAAATTTTTTTTAGATTATTCAAAAAAATTATATGCGCTCTGTCGAAGAAAAATGAAATATTTTCCTATTCCATTATTTGGTTCAATAGCACTTGGATTTATGATTGGAGGATACATATACAAATTTCCAGAGATTCGAGGTAGTGGAATTCCATATATCGAAGCTGTTGCCCAAGGTAAATTAAAAGTTACATGGTATCTGGCAATACCGTTGATGTTCATTACAAGCATGCTCTCATTAGTAAGTGGCATGTCATTTGGCAAGGAGGGTCCATCAATATTTATTGGCGGTTGTATTGGATATGGAATTGCATCAATGATTCCTTTTGCACGAGTTTACAAGAACTTGCTAGTTGCAGCAGGTGCTTCAACAGGTCTTGCTATTGCATTTAGTGCACCAGCTGCAGGTTTATTGTTTTCAGTTGAAGAGATTTATCGTAAGTTTTCTTCTGTCATTACAATGACATCAGCAATGACTGTTTGCATTGGAGTTTTCTTAAAAGAGCTGATATTTGGCAAGCTTCCTTTAGAAATAGGAGACTGCCAATATGAATTCAGTGCATTACTGTTTTTACTTAGCTTTATTTCCGGTGTTTTTGGCGGTCTTTGTGGAGCTGCATTCAATGTTTTTTTGAGATTTGTTTCCAGAGAATATAAGAAAATGACACCACCGGTGCCAATGTGGTTTTATCCTGTAATTCCTGCAATTATTGGTTCAATTGTTGCAACAGCGCTTCCTGATGCTGGATTTGATGGTGTTGAGACACTAGAAAAGCTTTTTCATGGAGAAATTACAACCTGGAGAATTGTTGTCAGTTTTGTAATTAAATTTCTCTTCACTTCTCTTTGTTTTGGTTCATCTACAACTGGAGGTCTTTTCATTCCTACGCTTTCAACTGGTGCCTTGTTTGGTGGCACATTGGCAAAGATTTATATTGCTATTGGATTGCCAAAAAAATACGAAAATTACGTTATTATGGTGACAATCAGTGCTTTTTTCACTGGCTGCGTCAGAGCTCCTTTAACAGCAACAATTATCATACCAGAATTTTCAATGAAATTCACCGGATTCATTGGTTCATTGACTGCTTCCGCATTTGCTTATGTTGCTGCTGAATTGACTCGTGTTCCGCCATTTTATGAAGAATTGGTCGATAATTTAATGGAAAACTATGATGAAGAACATCCTCAGCCGCCCTCAATCGATCTCAATGAATTTGTTTTTATTGTTGATAGCAACTCAAGAATTCGTGGTTTGGACCTGAATGAATTGACTCTTCCTCGTGGAACTGCTTTTTCCAGAATTGTTCGGAACAGAGTGCCAATGGTTCCTACAGACGATTTAGTGTTAAGATCTCGTGATGAAGTGTGGTTTGTAGCTGAAGAAGCAAGCACATTTCATGCAGAAGACGAGCTAAAAAGTATATTTTAAATTCTTAATTATATTATTGTATTGAATAAAATATTAGTATTATAGAGCTACTTCTTTTTATATTAAAAAATTATGAATTAGAAGGGAATATTTTTATAAATGTTTTGGTAATATGTAACCATAAATATTGTCATTCACTTGATGTGTAACCTTTATCATGTATTTCATCATCATTTTCAAAACAGAAAAGAACTCTTCAAAGATTGAATTGGCTTCATGGAACTTGCTCATCATTACCATGAATGTTGAATCTACAACAAGTGGATTCAACATTCATCATTCAATTTATTCAATGAAATAACATAATTAAGAATTTTAAAATATACTTTAAACAGAAGGTGATATCATTAGATTTATTTTTTAAACCAATTATTTATTCTTTAAGTAAATCTGTGAATCTTCCATCAGCCAAAAGTTGTACTTCTTCATTGAATTCTTTTTGAGCTTCAGTCAATCGATCTTTTTCAAATTGTAAAACAGGGAATTAAAGAACGTGAGCGATTCAATTTTTAAAAAATCTTAAAGGAATGCTCAAAGCTGTATGAACAGGAACACCATAATGATCTGCCACTGATTGATCATCAATTGAAGTATTAAAGCTTTCAATTATTTGAGTATCAAAGCAATAAGCTCCAACAAGACTAGCAAATGATTTTGCAGGAAGAATAGTTGCACCGTTATTTTTAACATCAACAATTCCAACTTTTTGCATTCTTGCGATTTCAAGTCCAAGTTTTCTAATTTTAGTAACAATTTGATCAACTTTTTCTCTGCCTTTTTGAATTGATTGGTTAAATTTTCATCACTCAATTTTAATGTCTCTGCAAGGAAAGGAAACAATAGCTTATCGCCAATTTTAACGCTTGATATAAGAGGAAACATTGTTGAATTATGGAAGCCAATCATGTATCCTGTTATATCAACATTTAGATCATTATGAATGATTTGTTTTAAACGAGATGAATCAACAGGTCATGACAATCCAAGAACTTTTAATCTTGCAATTGCACACATCATGTCAACTTGGTTTGTTACCAGTACAAGAAGACAATCTGGTGAATACAACTGGACTTGATACGCAATGTTTTCAATCATTTCTTTGTTAACAAATGATTGCTTCGTTCTTCCAGTTGGATCAATTTGTCAGAACTTTTTTGATAATTCAGGACTCGGCCATCTTCCAGCACTACAACAAACAATCTTTGCATTTATAATTCTGCTATAATCATTGGTTACAGTAAATTTGATTTTTTTTCTTTGTTTTGTACAACAATTAAATGAGCCAGAAATGTCTTCTGAGAATCTTTTCAATCTACTCAAACTTGCATCATTGCCTGAACCAATCAAAACAATCTCCGCACTTTCATTATCTGGAACAGAATCACATATTTTTGGAATTGATTGCTTCCCAATATTTCCACCAGCACCAATGAAAACAATTTTTGTAATTTCTTCCTTAAAGCTCCAATTTTCGTTGGTCTTTTCAAGGAATTTAAGTAGATATGTCGAATTTTGAATGATTCCGATTGGATTGTCTAAATTTGAGCTAAGTAAAAGTTGAAGATCATTATCGATATAGGTTCCATTTTGTGTTATAAAAATTGGAATGCATCTTGAACGAAATGCAAAACTCAATTCTTTTATTGAATTTGTAATAAATAATAAGGATTCTCTTTTTGAATCAGGTTGCAATGAATCTATTATTAATTGAATTTGACTTAGTAAGGATTCGCTGTCATCATGGAATATCAAGGAGTCAAATAATGAGTTTATATCATATTTTTCAATAATAGGTTCAATAATTAAAGGATCTTGATTTGCAACCAAAATAGTATTAATTGAATTGTTATTGCAAAATTCTAAAAGATCGCTGATTCTGTCATTTAAAGGAATTTTATCGGTATCATTTAATAAGTATTGTTTGTATTCTTCATAGGCTTCTTTCGCTAAATATTTTCCTAAACGAGTCATAAAATTATTTTAAAAAGAACCATTAAAGATGGTATCTCGTATCGATTACTTAAATAATAAAGAGCTGGAACATTTTCGTTCGTTAATTCAACATATTCGTTATTGACTAAAGAAATTAATATATTGATATCTTCATCTTTTATGTTGATTTTAGTTTCATCATCTCCAAAAATGTTGATTTCTTTTTTTGCAAACAATTCATTTTCGTTATGTTGACAATATACAGAATTAATTTCAAAAATGTAAAAATTGAAAGGAAAACGCTTCTCACCTAGGACAAAACAGTGGGTTGGCTTGATTTCATAATTATTTGTAATTATTTTTTTTTTTTTACATCCATATTTTTGATGAAATCGACCGTTTATTTTTTTGGAACTCCAACGATAGAATAAAATAATTTTTTTTAGCAATAAAATATATTTATTTTAATTTGTTTTCATTATTTCAACATTATAAAATGTTTTTATATACATATAAATTGATGTGCAATAGATAATAAAATATAAGCTTAATAACACAAATATTCAAAAAAAAAATTTTTGATAATCTATTTAGAAGAAAAAAAATCAAAAAAGCAGCGATCCGGGAATCGAACTCGGGTCTCCAGGGCTTAACAATCCTGACGTCTTACCACTTGACCAATCGCCATTTCAACATCAGATTATTTAAACCAAATATATTTATATATATATATACTCAAGCATTCAACAATTACATAAATTGATTTTGATTTTTTAGCAATTATTTTTTGAAAAGTTTATACAATATTTTCATGTGAAAAAATGGTTGGTATGAGAATATGAATTTGATCAATTCAGTTTAATTTTCTTATTATATGTCAAATTTTTCACAAAAATGAATGTAAAGATTCTAATGACATAATTGAAATATACTTTTCTCTAGCTAAATTTCCAAAACATGAAATGCTAGCAAAAGGTACAACCATGGTTGAAGAGAATTTGGATAAAAGATACTTGGGCTTTCTTATTTATAAGCCAATGTTCATATTATAGACCAATTAACAAAAGTGCAAAAAAGTTCCAGCCTTAACTACCACTAGCAATTTCCCAACTACTTCCCAAAAAAAAATATAATTTTGCATATCAAAAAAGATTGCTTTTTAAATAGTTCAATTCCAGAAAATTTGAATACTTCCAATCCAGACATAGGACTTTTGCTCATGAAGAGACCTTTTGTTATTCTCTATTTTATATTGTTTTATATTGAGGATTTTTTTTATTACCATTCAAGAGATTTTTCAATTTGCAATGAGAATCAAACGTATGTCAAAGAAATTTGGGAATTAATTTTACCTTCTTTTTCAGCATATTTCATTAATAAAAGTTACAATAAGCTTGAACAAAACAAAATCATAGAGACAAAAATAGAAATAAATGATATAAATGCGAATGAAGTTGTTCGTTTGTATCCTTTGGGAAATACAAATTCATCAATTGTTGAATTAATTTATCATATTCAGAAAAGGATTCAAATGTGAAAATGGATTTAAATGTGATCGGAAAATTTTTAAAACTTTTTAAAATTTTTTATTTATTTTTTATTTTTCTTTAGATACAAAGACTTTGGTAATAAATGAAATATATCAATATGTTAAGCACTTAATAGTTGATATAAACAAATATAGCATTCGAACCAAAAATTGAAATTTTAGCATTTTTTCTATTGCTGAAGATGAAAAAATAAAATCGAAATATCGGATTATTTGGATTATTGTTTCCATATTGAATCATATATATCGCTTCTATATATATTATTGCATAATAAACAAAAGTAAAATTATAACTCTTTATGCTAACATTTTTGAGAAAAATCGAAATTTTAAATCGTTCTTCGGTCTTAAATCGTTCTTCGGTTCAGAATGTAAAAAATTATATGAACGAGAAGTAAAAAATTATGGAAGAATTTGCCATCCATCTTTACCTCGTTTGTGTGGCAAAATTGAGAAAGGAGAGAATCGTTACTTAATCATCGAGGACATCAGAGGACAATCTTTAAAGAATATTAAAGCAATAAATCCTAAACCAAAAGAAAAAGTCAATTTTATTTTTCAAATAATGTTTGTTATTGAATATCTGCAAAATGAATCGTTAATTTATCGAGATTTGAAGCCAGATAATTTCATTGTTGATGAAGAGAAACGAGTAATTCTGATTGATTTTGATCGAATGATTGGAATGGAAGAACAAGAAAATCCAGAAGAAGAATCAACAAAAGATTTATATAATCTATACCAAGCACCAGAAGTTAGAAATGGGACAGTCACAAAATATACAAATGAGAAAGACGTTTATTCACTTGGTCTTCTCATATATTTTATCTAAAAATCACAGAGAAAGAGAAATCTAAAAGAACTATTTATCCATTTGATGAATTTTCAAGTGGATATTGCAAACTGAGAGATATTTGTAATATTTGCACTCTTGAAGAACCATCAAAAAGGCCAAAAATCACGAAAATAATTGATTTATTTTATGATGATTTTATACCGGTTTTACAAAAAGAAACCAACCGTTTTGATCTGAGAGATGTTATTGATAATTATAACATAAATAAATATTTTCCATATTGGAAACTTTTTTATGAATATGATAATATTAAATTTCAAAAGCAACTTGAAATATTCTATTCAAATGAAAGCATAAATCAAAATCTAAAAAAATATATTGAAAAATATTCCAATTATTTAAACATAAATCATCTAATTTCTCAATTTTTACTTGGAGAAGAATACTATTCAGAGAATTATTTTTCTGAGAACATCGGTAAATTTATCCACTTCTTTTTAATCTCGAGTAATAATTCAAAATCACAAATCTTTCTTGATTATGTTTTTTCAGATGGCAAATATATTTCGAAAGATATCAGCAAAATGATTCATTATTATTCACTCGCTGCAAATCAAAATGATGCAAATGCCCAAAATAAGCTCGGAAATATTTATTATAATGGTGAATATATCTCAAGAAATATTAACAAAGCGATTCATTATTATTCACTCGCTGCAGATCAGAATCATGTAAATGCACAAAATAATCTCGGTTTTATTTATTATGATGGCAAATATGTTTCAAGAGATATCGAGAAATCAATTCATTATTATTCACTTGCTGCAAATCAAAATGATGCAAATGCACAAAGTGATCTTGGTCTTATTTATTATGAAGATAAATATATTTCAAGAGATATCGAGAAAGCGATTCATTATTTTACACTCGCTGTAAATCAAAATCATGTTGGTGCACAAATTATTCTCGGAAATAATTATTATGAAGGGAAATATATTTCGAGAGATACTGAGAAAGCAATTCATTATTTAACACTCGCTGCAAATCAAAATGATCCAAAGGCACAAACTATTTTAGGCTATATTTATTATGAAGGTAGATATATTTTGAGAGATATAAACAAAGCGATTCATTATTATTCACTCTCTGCAAATCAAAATTTTGCTGCAGCACAATTTAATCTTGGAAACATTTATTATGAAGGTAAATATATTTTTAGAGATATCGAAAAAGCGATTCATTATTATTCACTTGCTGCAAATCAAAATGCTGCAAATGCACAAAATGATCTTGGTTTTATTTATTATGAAGGTAAATATACTTCAAGAGATATCGAGAAAGCGATTCATTATTATTCACTTGTTGCAAATCAGAATTATGCAGATGCACAATTTAATCTCGGTTTTATTTATTATAAAGCTAAATATATTTCGAGAGATATCAGCAAAGCGATTCATTATTTCACGCTGGCAGCAAATCAAAATCACGTAAATGCACAACTTTTTCTTGGTTTCATCTTTTTTACTAAAAAATATATTCATGAAAATGCAAAGAAAGGAAGGTACTATTTGATGCTTGCCTCCAAAAACAGGTGTAAGAAAGCTCACTCTTATGTTGGCTTTCTATATCATGAAGGGAAATATGTCGATCAAGACATCGAAAAGGCTCTTCATTATTACAAGGAGGGATCATCTCTTAATGACCAATATGCAAAAAATAATCTTGGAGTTATTTACAAAAATGGGTCTTATTGTGAAATTCAACCAAAAATTGGATTGGCAATTGAATACTTTGAAGAAGCCATTCGTCAGAAGAACGATGTAGTGTCAGCATTCAATCTTTCGAATATTTACATTCATGATGAAAGATCAAATAAAAATATCACCAAATCTGTTGAGATGTTGATCAAATCATATAATAGAGGTTTCAAACCGTCACTTGTTCTTCTTTGTATTGCATTAATTAAAAAAGTTGGTAGTTTCAATCCTTTCAATTACAGCAAAATAAACAATGAAATCGATAAATACAAAGATGCAACGAGCACATTGAAAAAGAGAATAGAAGTAATAATCTTTTATGCAGAATTGTATGAAAAAAATAATTTTCAAATGACATACAATTATTGGAGGAAAATAGAATATTTATATGATATTTCGAATAATGTTATTGAATCGAATAAAATAGGAATCAAAGATAAAAATGATCCATCATCAGACAACAAATTTCCTCCACCAATTTCCTCTCTATTCTTTGAAAATTAATCATATTTGAAATAGCATGTTATTTTCGCTTTACATAATTCCAAAATGCCCATTATAGTTCATACATTTATACTTATTATAATAATAATTCAAAAATAATTGCTTATATTTACCAGAATTAAGCATTTTTTATAATTGTATGATATGGCCATTTAATCTCTCAAATCATAAGAGTACAACCTTATTTTATAGTATCGAATAGCTAGATTTTAGTTTCAGTTTATTTAATAAAATGAATAAATAATTAATAATTAATGAATCATCTATATTTTCAATATAAAATATTTATAAATTCTTTAACGCATTTTGTAAATAGGGAAAAAATGCCGAAAATCATTGATATTTCCGAATAATTAAATCTTCTGTATCAATTTCTTGCTCATTATTCTTGTTTTGAAAGTGACTTTGTTTCTGCTGTTCGTTTTCTTTATCATTAGGTTTTGAATACTCATAATAGGTAACGTTGAAATTGATTTCAAGGCCAGGTTCAAACATATATTCATCATTTGCAAAAGGAAAAATAGTCTGCATCAAAATTGTATGTATGTTTCATATAATTCAAATTTGATTTATTTATTTACACTCATGAAAAGTGGAATATTTACATTTGTTTATCTTACTAAATATAGGATATTTCAATAAAATTATTGTTTTATTATTCTTTTAAATTATAATAAATAAAATTTTTGAAGTAATTTTAATGAATTTTAAAAAGGTGGAAAGACTTTTTGCGTTTTTTTGTAGTTAATATTTTTTGTATATATCTTAGTATATAATTATTATTTTGTAATTATTTTTTATTTTATTTATATTATACAGTTAATTATTTATTATTATATTAAATATGTTTAATAAAATGTGCTATTCAATGAATTAAAAGCCATTTTTCATAAGAGCGTTTTTTTAAATAAATCCATCATTTGATATGCTTTTGATTTGTTCAAAATAAAATAAATCATATATCTATATAAGAAGATATTATATAATATGTAGGATATTTGATTAGTTTCATATTACATTTCTATAATGAGATAAAATTGGTTTTCATTCTATTTTTTGCATTTCTTAATATACAAATTG